ACTTGGTCGGCCATTTTTGGGCGAAAATCAACCTCGGCTCACAGTTGAGGCCGATGAGTCTTTGTGGTTGTCGCTTTGGCTATGATGTAGGTCCAAAAACCTCAAACAAACAATTATAGTTTCTCTATAGATTGTTTCATGCTCGTTCACACCGGCCTTTCCGGGAACTCGGAAGCTCGCACGCCCGCATTGTCTCGAAAAACTAGAAAAGCATATTTTCTCGACCTAAACGTCGTTTTTTTTTACAAAAATAACCCCAAGACATGGGCAAAGGCCATGAGTTTTTATCGTTAGCTTGTTAGCCATCGAACTCGGGCCTAAAATTGCTCAATAATTGGTCGGCCATTTTTGGGCGAACATCAACCTCAACTCATAGTCGAGGCCGATGAGTCTCTCGTGGTTGTCACGTTGGCTATGATATTGGTCCGAAAAACCTCAAAGCATCAATTAAATTTTCTCTATAGATTGTTTCACTCTCGTTCACATTGGCCTTTCCAAGAGCTCGAAAGCTCGCATGCCCACAATGTCTCGAAAAACTAGAAAAATGTATTTTCTCGACCTAAACGTCATTTTTTACAAAAATACCCCCGTGTCATGGCCAAATGCCATGGGTCTTCATTTTTGGCTCGTTTTACATCGAACCGGGTCTAAAAATGCTCAAAACTTGGTCGACCATTTTTGGTTGAAAGTCAACCTCGGCTCACGACCAAGGTCGATGAGTCTTTGTGGTTGTCACTTTGGCTATGATGTATGTCCCCAAAACCTCAAATCAGCAAATACAATTTCTCTATAGATTGTTTCACGCTCGTTCACACCGGCCCTTACGGGAACACGAAAGCTCACATGCCCGCATTGTCTCGAAATACTAAAAAATCGTATTTTCTCCTTGTAAACGTAGTTTTTTTACAAAAATACCCCCGTGTCATGGCCAAATGCCATGAGTCTTTATTGTTGGCTCGTTTTCAATCGAACCGGGTCTAAAACCGGTCAAAACTTGATCGGCCATTTTTGGGCGAAAATCAACCTCGGCTCACGAGTCGAAGCCGATGAGTCTTTGTGGTTGTCACTTTGGCTATGTTGTAGGTCCGGAAAACCTCAAACAAACAATGACAGTTTCTCTATAGATTGTTTCATGTTCGTTCACACGGCCTTTCCGGGAACTCGGAAGCTTGCACGCCCGCATTGTCTCGAAAAACTAGAAAAGCATATTTTCTTGACCTAAACGTCATTTTTTTTACAAAAATAACCCCAAGACATGGGCAAAGGCCATGAGTTTTTATTGTTGGCTTGTTTTCGATCGAACTAAGCCTAAAACTACTCAATACTTGGTCGGCCGTTTTTGGGCGAACATCAACCTCATCTCACGGTCGAGGCCGATGAGTCTCTGTGGTTGTCACTTTGGCTATGATGTACGTCTAGAAAAACCTCAAACCAGCAAATACGGTTTCTCTATAAATTGTTTCACGCTCGTTCACACCGGCCTTTCCGGGAACTCGAAAGCTCGCATGCCCGCATTGTCTCGAAAAACTAGAAAAGTGTATTTTCTCGACCTAAACGTCATTTTTTTTTATAGAAATACCCCTAGGACATGGGCAAAGCCAATGAGTTTTTATTGTTCGCTCATTTGCCATAGAACCGGGCCTAAAACTCGCTCAAAACTTGGTCGGCCATTTTTGGGCGAACATCAACCTCGATAATGGTCGAGGCCGATGAGTCTCTATGGTTGTCACTTTGGCTATGATGTACGTCCAAAAAAACCGCAAATCAACAAATATAATTTCCCTATATATTGTTTCACGCTCGTTCACACCGGCCCTTCCAAGAGCACGAAAGCTCACATGCTCGCATTTTCTCGAAATACTAAAAAGCGTATTTTCTCGACCTAAACGTAGTTGTTTTGCAAAAATACCCCCGGGTCATGGCCAAAGGCCATGAGTCTTTATTGTTGGCTCGTTTTCCATCAAACCGGGTCTAAAGCCGCTCAAAACTTGGTCGGCCATTTTTGTGCGAAAATCAACCTCGGCTCACAATCGAGGTCGATGAGTCTTTGTGGTTCTCACTTTGGCTATGATGTAGGTCCCAAAAACCTCAAAGCGACAATTACATTTTCTCTATAGATTGTTTCACGCTCGTTCACACCGGCCTTTCCGGGAACTCGAAAGCTCGCATGCCCGCATGGTCTCGAAAAACTAAAAAAGTGTATTTTCTCGACCTAAACGTCATTTTTTTACAAAAATACCCCCGGACATGGGCAAAGGCCATGAGTTTTAATTGTTTGCTCGCTTGCCATTGAACTCGGGTCTAAAACTCGCTCAAAACTTGGTCGGCCATTTTTTTGCGAACATCAACCTCAACTCATAGTCGAGGCCGATGAGTCTCCGTGGTTGTCACGTTGGCTATGATATAGGTTTCAAAAACCTCAAAGCGACAATTACATTTTCTCTATAGATTGTTTCACACTCGTTCACACCGGCCTTTCCCGTAGCTCGAAAGCTCGCATGCTCACATTGTCTCGAAAAACTAGAAAAAAGTATTTTCTTGACCTAAACGTCATTTCTTTACAAAAATACCCCCGGATCATGGCCAAATGCCATGAGTCTTTATTGTTGGCTCATTTTCCATCAAGCCGGTACTAAAGCTCGCTCAAAACTTGGTCGGCCATTTTTGGGCGAAAATCAACCTCGGCTCACAATCGAGGTCGATGAGTCTTTGTGGTTGTCACTTTGGCTATGATGTATGTCCCAAAAACCTCAAATCAGTAAATATAATTTCTCTATAGATTGTTTCACGCTCGTTCACACCGGCCCTTACGAGAACACGAAAGCTCACATGCCTCCATTGTCTCGAAATACTAAAAAATCGTATTTTCTCGATGTAAACGTAGTTTTTTTGGAAAAATAACCCCGAGTCATGGCCAAAAGCCATGAGTCTTTATTGTAGGCTCGTTTTCAATCAAACTGGGTCTAAAACCACTCAAAAATTGGTCGAACATTTTTAGGCGAAAATCAACCTCGGCTCACGAGTCGAAGCCGATGAGTCTTTGTGGTTGTCACTTTGGCTATGATGTAGGTCCAAAAAACCTCAAACAAACAATTACAGTTTCTCTATAGATTGTTTCATGCTCGTTCACACCGGCCTTTCCGGGAACTCGGAAGCTCGCACGCCCGCATTGTCTCAAAAAACTAGAAAAGCGTATTTTCTCGACCTAAACGTCGCTTTTTTTACAAAAATAACCCCAAGACATGGGCAAAGGCCATGATTTTTATTGTTAACTTGTTTGCCATCGAACTGGGCCTAAAACCGCTCAATAATTGGTCGGCCATTTTTGGGCGAACATCAACCTCAACTCGTAGTCGAGGCCGATGAGTCTCTGTGGTTGTCACGTTGGCTATGATATTGGTCCGAAAAACCTCAAAGCAGCAATTACATTTTCTCTATAGATTGTTTCACTCTCGTTCACATTGGCCTTTCCAAGAGCTCGAAAGCTCGCATGCCCACATTGTCTCGAAAAACTAGAAAAAAGTATTTTCTCGACCTAAACGTCATTTTTTTACATAAATACCCCCGAGTCATGGCCAAATGCCATGAGTCTTTATTGTTGGCTCGTTTTACATCGAACCGGGTCTAAAAATGCTCAAAACTTGGTCGACCATTTTTGGTTGAAAGTCAACCTCGGCTCACGACTAAGGTCGATGAGTCTTTGTGGTTGTCACTTTGGCTATGATGTATGTCCCCAAAACCTCAAATCAGCAAATACAATTTCTCTATAGATTGTTTCACGCTCGTTCACACCGGCCCTTACGGGAACACGAAAGCTCACATGCCCGCATTGTCTCGAAATACTAAAAAATCGTATTTTCTCGACCTAAACGTAGTTTTTTTGCAAAAATACCCCCGTGTCATGGCCAAAGGCCATGAGTCTTTATTGTTGGCTCGTTTTCCATCAAATCGGGTCTAAAACCGCTCAAAACTTGGTCGGCCATTTTTGTGCGAAAATCAACCTCGACTCACAATCGAGGTCGATGAGTCTTTGTGGTTCTCACTTTGGCTATGATGTAGGTCCCAAAAACCTCAAAGCAGACAATTACATTTTCTCTATAGATTGTTTCACGCTCGTTCACACCGGCCTTTCCAGGAACTCGAAAGCTCGCATGCCCGCATGGTCTCGAAAAACTAAAAAAGTGTATTTTCTCGACCTAAACGTCATTTTTTTACAAAAATACCCCCGGACATGGGCAAAGGCCATGAGTTTTAATTGTTTGCTCGCTTGCCATTGAACTGGGTCTAAAACTCGCTCAAAACTTGGTCGGCCATTTTTTGGTTGAAAGTCAACTTCGACTCACGGTCGAGGTCGATGAGTCTTTGTGGTTGTCACTTTGGCTATGATGTATGTCCCCAAAACCTCAAATCAGCAAATACAATTTCTCTATAGATTGTTTCACGCTCGTTCACACCAGCCCTTACGGGAACACAAAAGCTCACATGCTCGCATTGTCTCGAAATACTAAAAAATCGTATTTTCTCGACGTAAACGTAGTTTTTTTGCAAAAATACCCCCGGGTCATGGCCAAAGGCCATGAGTCTTTATTGTTGGCTCGTTTTCAATCGAACTCGGGTCTAAAACCGCTCAAAACTTGGTCGGCCATTTTTTAGCGAAAATCAACCTCGACTCACGGTCGAAGCCGATGAGTCTTTGTGGTTGTCACTTTGGCTATGATGTAGGACCAAAAAGCCTCAAACAAACAATTACGGTTTCTCTATGGATTATTTCATGCTCGTTCACACCGGCCTTTCCGGGAACTCGGAAGCTCGCACGCCGGCATTGTCTCGAAAAACTAGAAAAGCGTATTTTCTCGACCTAAACGTCATTTTTTTACATAAATAACCCCAAGACATGGGCAAAGGCCATGAGTTTTTATTGTTGGCTTGTTTGCCATCGAACCGGGTCGAAAATCGCTCAATACTTGATCGGCCATTTTTGGGCGAAGATCAACCTTAGCTCACGAGTCGAGGCCGATGAGTCTCTCGTGGTTGTCACTTTGGCTATGATGTACGTCCAAAAAAACCTCAAACCAGCAAATACTCGTGGTTGTCACTTTAGCTATGATGTACGTCCAAAAAAACCTCAAACCAAGCAAATACGGTTTCTCTATAAATTGTTTCACGCTCGTTCACACTAGCTTTTCCGAGAACTCGAAAGCTAGCATGCTCGCATTGTCCCGAAAAACTAGAAAAGTGTATTTTCTCGACCTAAACATCATTTTTTTACAGAAATACCCCTAGGACATGGGCAAAGCCAATGAGTTTTTATTGTTGGCTCATCCGCCATAGAACCGGGCCTAAAGCCGCTCAAAACTTGGTCGGCCATTTTTGGGCGAATATCAACCTCGATAACGGTCGAGGCCGATGAGTCTCCGTGGTTGTCACTTTGGCTATGATGTACGTCCAAAAAAACCACAAATCAGCAAATATAGTTTCCCTATATATTGTTTCACGCTCATTCACACCGACCCTTCCAAGAACACGAAAGCTCACATGCTCGCATTGTCTCAAAATACTAAAAAAGCGTATTTTCTCGACCTAAACCTAGTTTTTTTGCAAAAATAGCCCCGAGTCATGGCCAAAGGCCATGAGTCTTTATTGTTGGCTCGTTTTCCATCAAACTAGGTCTATAACTCGCTCAAAACTTGATTGGCGATTTTTGGGCGAAAATCAACCTCGGCTCACGGTCGAGGCCGATGAGTCTTTTTGGTTGTCACTTTGGCTATGATGTAGGTCCCAAAAGCCTCAAAGCAGCAATTACATTTTCTCTATAGATTGTTTCATGCTCGTTCACACTAGCCTTTCCGAGAACTCGAAAGCTCGCATGCCCGCATGGTCTCGAAAAACTAGAAAAGTGTATTTTCTCGACCTAAACGTCATTTTTTTACAAAAATACCCCCGGACATGGGCAAAGGCCATGAGTTTTGATTGTTTGCTCGCTTGCCATCAAGCCGGGTCTAAAACTCGCTCAAAACTTGGTCGGCTATTTTTGGCGAACATCAACCTCAACTCATAGTCGAGGCCGATGCGTTTACGTGGTTGTCACGTTGGCTATGATATAGGTCTCAAAAACCTCAAAGCGACGAATTATATTTTCTCTATAGATTGTTTCATGCTCGTTCACACCGGCCTTTCCAAGAGCTCGAAAGCTCGCATGCCGACATTGTCTCGAAAAACTAGAAAAAAGTATTTTCTCGACCTAAACGTCATTTCTTTACAAAAATACCCCCGTGTCATGGCCAAATTCCATGAGTCTTTATTGTTGGCTTGTTTTACATCGAATCGGGTCTAAAAATGCTCAAAACTTGGTCGACCATTTTTGGTTGAATGTCAACCTCGGCTCACGGTCGAGGTCGATGAGTCTTTGTGGTTGTCACTTTAGCTATGATGTATATCCCAAAAACCTCAAATCAGCAAATACAATTTCTCTATAGATTGTTTCACGCTCATTCACACCGGCGCTTATGGGAACACGAAAGCTCACATGCCCGCATTGTCTCGAAATAATAAAAAATCGTATTTTCTCGACATAAACGTAGTTTTTTTGCAAAACTACCCCCGGGTCATGGCCAAAGGCCATGAGTCTTTATTGTTGGCTCGTTTTCAATCGAGCCGGGTCTAAAATCCCTCAAAACTTGGTCGGCCATATTTGGCGAAAATCAACCTCGACTCACGAGTCGAAGCCGATGAGTCTTTGTGGTTGTCACTTTGGCTATGATGTAGGTCCAAAAAACCTCAAACAAACAATTACGGTTTCTCTATAGATTGTTTCATGCTCGTTCACACCGGCCTTTCCGGGAACTCGGAAGCTCGCACGCCCGCATTTTCTCAAAAAACTAGAAAAGCATATTTTCTCTACCTAAACGTCGTTTTTTTACAAAAATAACCGCAGGACATGGGCAAAGGCCATGAGTTTTTATTGTTGTCTTGTTTGCTATCGAACTAGGCCTAAAACTCGCTCAATACTTGGTCGGCCATTTTTGGGCGAAAACCAACCTTAGCTCACAATCGAGGCCGATGAGTCTTTGTGGTTGTCACTTTAGCTATGATGTAGGTCCCAAAAACCTCAAAGCAACGAATTACATTTTCTCTACGATTGTTTCATGCTCGTTCACACCGGCCTTTCCGGGAACTCGAAAGCTTGCATACCCGCATTGTCTCGAAAAACTAGAAAAGTGTATTTTCGCGACCTAAACGTCATTTTTTACAAAAATACCCCCGGACATGGGCAAAGGCCATGAGTTTTAATTGTTGGCTCGCTTGCCATCGAACCGGGTCTAAAACTCGCTCAAAACTTGGTCGGCCATTTTTGGGCGAACATCAACCTCAACTCATAGTCGGGGCCGATGAGTCTATGTAGTTGTCACGTTGGCTATGATATAGGTCTTAAAAACCTCAAAGCAACGAATTACATTTTCACTATAGATTGTTTCACGCTCGTTCACACTAGCCTTTCCAAGAGCTCGAAAGCTCGCATGCCCACATTGTCTCAAAAAACTAGAAAAAAGTATTTTCTCGACCTAAATGTCATTTTTTTATAAAAATACCCCCAAGTCATGGCCAAATGCCATGAGTCTTTATTGTTGGCTCGTTTTACATGGAACCGGGTCTAAAAATGCTCAAAACTTGGTCGACCATTTTTGGTTGAAAGTCAACCTCGACTCACGATCGAGGTCGATGAGTCTTTATGGTTGTCACTTTGGCTATGATGTATGTCCCCAAAACTTCAAATCAGCAAATACAATTTCTCTATAGATTGTTTCACGCTCGTTCACACCGGCCCTTACAGGAACACGAAAGCTCATATGCTCGCATTATCTCGAAATACTAAAAAAATCGTATTTTCTCGACGTAAACATAGTTTTTTTGCAAAAATACCTCCGTGTCATGGCCAAAGGCCATGAGTCTTTATTGTTGGCTCGTTTTCAATCGAATCGGTCTAAAACCGCTCAAAACTTGGTCGGCCATGTTTGGGCGAAAATCAACCTCGACTCACGAGTCGAAGCCGATGTGTCTTTGTGGTTGTCACTTTGGCTATGATGTAGGTCCAAAAACCTCAAACAAACAATTACGGTTTCTCTATAGATTGTTTCATGCTCGTTCACACCGGCCTTTCCAGGAACTCGGAAGCTCGGATGCCCGTATTGTCTCGAAAAACTAGAAAAGCTTATTTTCTTGACCTAAACGTCATTGTTTTTACAAAAATAACCCCAAGACATGGGCAAAGGCCATGAGTTTTTATTGTTGGCTTGTTTTCCATCGAACTGGGCCTAAAGTCGCTCAATACTTGGTCGGCCATTTTTGGGCGAAGATCAACCTCGGCTCACGGTCGAGGCCAATGAGTCTCCGTGGTTGTCACTTTGGCTATGATGTACGTCCAAAAAAACCTCAAACCAGCAAATACGGTTTCTCTATAAATTGTTTCACGCTCGTTCACACCGGCCTTTCCAGGAACTCGAAAGCTCGCATGCCCGCATTGTCTCGAAAAACTAGAAAAGTGTATTTTCTCGACCTAAACGTAGTTTTTTGGCAAAAATCACTCCCAAGTCATGGCCAAAGGCGATGTGTTTTTATCGTTTGCTCGTTTTCCATCGAACTCGGGTCTAAAGCCGCCCAAAACTTGGTCGGCCATTTTTGGGCGAACATCAACCTCAACTCACGGTCGAGGCCGATGAGTCTCTGTGGTTGTCACTTTGGCTATGATGTACATCCAAAAAAACCACAAATCAGCAAATATAGTTTCCCTATATATTGTTTCACGCTCGTTCACACCGGCTCTTCCAAGAACACGAAAGCTCACATGCCTACATTGTCTCGAAATACTAAAAAAGTGTATTTTCTCGACCTAAACGTAGTTTTTTAGCAAAAATCACCTCCAAGTCATGGCCAAAGGCGATGTGTTTTTATCGTTTGCTCGTTTTCCATCAAACTGGGTCTAAAACTGCTCAAAACTTGGTCGGCCATTTTTGGGCGAACGTCAACCTCAACTCACGGTCGAGGCCGATGAGTCTCTGTGGTTATCACTTTGGCTATGATGTAGGTCCCAAAAACCTCAAAGCAACAATTACATTTTCTCTATAGATTGTTTCATGCTCGTTCACACTTGCTTTTCCAAGAACTCGAAGGCTCGCATGCCCATATTGTCTCGAAAAACCGGAAAAACCTATTTTCTCGACCTAAACGTCGTTTTTCTACAAAAATAACCCCCATGTCATGGCCAAAGGCCATGAGTCTTTATTTTTAGCTCGTTTTCCATCGAACTCGGGTCTAAAAATGCTCAAAACTTGGTCGACCATTTTTGGTTGAAAATCAACATCGACTCACGGTCGAGGTCGATGACTCTCTGTGGTTGTCACTTTGGCTATGATGTACGTCTCAAAAAGCTCAAAATAGAAACTATTGTTTCTCTATAGGTTGTTTCACGCTCGTTCACACCGACATTTCTAGGAACTCGAAAGCTCGCATGCCCGCATTGTCTCGAAAAACTAGAAAAGTGTATTTTATCGACCTAAACGTCATTTTTTTATAAAAATACCCCCGGACATGGGCAAAGGCCATGAGTTTTAATTGTTAGCTCGTTTGCCATCCAACTCGGGTCTAAAACTGGTCAAAACTTGGTTGGCTATTTTTTGGCGAAAATCAACCTCAACTCATTGTCGATGCCGATGAGTCTCTCGTGGTTCTCACTTTGGCTATGATGTAGGTCTTAAAAACCTCGGACCGACAATTATAGTTTCTCTATAGATCGTTTCACACTTTTTCTCACCGACCCTTCCAGGAACTCAAAAGCTCGCATGCCCGTATTGTCTCGAAAAACTAAAATATGTATTTTCTCGGCATAAAAGTCATTTTTTTTACAAAAATCACCTGCAGTTCATAGCCATAGGCCATGAGTTTTATCGTTGGCTCGTTTTCCATCGAACCGGGTCTAAAACGGCCCAAAACTTGGTTGGCCATTTTTGGGCGAACATCAACCTCAACTCACGGTCGAGGCCGATGAGTTTCGTGGTTGTCACTTTGGCTATGATGTAGGTCCCAAAACCCTCAAAGCAACAATTACATTTTGTCTATAGATTGTTTCACGCTCATTCACACCGGCCTTTCTAGGAACTCGAAAGCTCGCGAGCTTATATTGTCTCGAAAACCTAGAAAAACGTATTTTCTCGACCTAAACGTCATTTTTTTACAAAAATCACCCCCGAGTCATGGCCAATGGCCATGAGTCTTTATTGTTAGCTCCTTTTCCATCGAACTGGGTCTAAAAATGCTCAAAACTTGGTCGACCGAGTTTTGGTTGAAAATCAACCTCGGCTCACGGTCGAGGTC